AGGCTGGTTTCGAACTCCTGAGCTCAAACAATCCGCCCGCCTCGGCCTCCCAGAGAGCTAGGATTACAGGCATGAGCCACCGCGCCCGGCCTCAAAATCTGCTTTTTAAGGCACCAGTTATTTTTAGTGATATTGAAATGCCTATTTGGGCAGTTAACACTTGGAGTGACCGTTGGAAAATTTTAAAAGTTAATCATTTACTGGGCCACACGTTGATCATTATTAGGCCTCAGTGGTCCAAAAAGGAGAAACATGACATTAATAACAAAATTTTTAAAAAACCAATGTAGAAATTAGAACTCCATTGAGTAGTACTTTGTTCAATTATAAACTATTTTGAATTTAATAGAAGAATATCAAATATCAAAACCTGTGACACAGCCAAAGAGGCAAAGAAATTCTTAGTGTGAGAATTTTTGCCTTGTGTTGTTATTATTTAACAAAACATAATATTATGTAAATGAATGTTCAGGGTCTTTAACCTGAGAAGCCAGAGAAAGGCCACGCTGGCTGTGGGTGTGTCGGAAGTGCCCCCTGCGGGCGAGGGGTCCTCGCTCTGCCCCTGCCGGGCCTGGTGTCTGCCCAGCTCACCCCAGTCCCACTCCCCGTGTTTCTAGCCTGTGGACTCCAAGGTCAGGTTGTTGGATTGGTTGGGATGAGACAGGAGAGAAGGCGAAATATTTTTCAACTTCATACACCATTGAATCTAATAGTTAACCATGTCCCAGCATCAAAGCATTAGCTCACGTGGAACTCCAGTGTCCCCTTCTCTCTCTCTCGTCTTCACAAACCTCCCTGCACTTGGGACTGAGGGGAAAGATTGCTCTGCGTTCATACTGCTCTTACAGCACCTAAAACACGTGATAATCCATGTCTCTGTGTCAGTGCACCTACCAATGATGAGATTATCGAGGGCAGAGATGGTGTTTTATGCATCTGTGTTCTTCCCGGACGACACCTATGCCGTCGAGTGCAGTGGCCACTTGAAACGTGGCAGGGTGGGGACGTGCTGCAGTGTGAAACACACACTGAAGTGTGAAGACTCAGTGTGAATAAAAGAATGCAAGGCAGCCGGCCATGGTGGTGCACGCCTGCAGCCCCAGCGACGGTGAATCTTGTTTTTGTGACAATGTGTGAAAGAACATCGACGTTCCCCAGAAGGACTCGTGTCTTTCTTGGCCCCAGGCCTAGCCTGGTCCCCAGAGTCCAGAGGTGCAGGGATGCTGCAGAAGGCTATGGATGGGGCTGGGTAGTGCCTCTGGAAGGTTCTTCACTCACCTTCTGTCCACAGCCCTCCAAATGGAGCCCCTGTAGGGTGGGGACCCTGCAGCCTTGGTTCCACATATGGCCTATGGATCCTTGAGTGTGGCCTTTTGACTGAATCCAAATTTTACAGAATAAACCCTAATAATAAAGGAATTTGTCCTGTGAAGTTTGGACCCATCCAGGGGCCACACTTGGGGATCCAGAGGGGCTCCCTGGGGGTGGCTCAGTCCTCGGTATCCTGGGAGCCCTATCTGAGTGCTCAGAAACCATTCCATGTGGTTATCCCATAGGTCTTTTCCAAGACACTTCTTATTTTGACATAATTTCAGGATTTTAGAAAAGTCACGAGAACAGTTCAAAGGGTTCCTGCCCATCCTCTGCTGCCACGCCAGCTTCCTCCTCCTGTGTGCACCCCTGTAACTATCTCAGAGCAAGCGGCAGACGTGACATTCCACCCCTAAATAGTTCAGTGTCTGCTTCTTACAAGCAAGAACATCCTCACGTAGCCACCGTTGGGACGTGAACACTGGTACAAACCTGTTACATAATCGCAGACCTTGAGATTTCACAGATTGTCCCAATAATGTCCTTCATAAGCAGAATAACGTCCCGGGTCATGTGTAGTCAGTTCTTGTGTCTCTTCAGTGTCCTTCGACCTGCAGAATTTCTCAGTCTTCCATGACCTTGATACTTGACAGGCGCGGCTGGTTATTCTTAGCATGTCCCACGGTGGAGCTCGTCTGGGTCTCCTCGCAAGGAGAGGTGGGTTTTGCCTGCCCGGCTGGAAGAGCTCAGCGGGGCTGCCGGCGTGGGAGGCCGTGGCCTCGTCCCTTCCCTCCAGCCCCCAGGTGTGGTTCTCACCACGTGGCGCGTCTGCGTCCTTTTCTAAGGAGCAGTGTCTATGAGGAGTGAGGCAGCACTTTGTCAGTGTCCCGACTCTTCCTCACGTGTTCAGCTGCCGTGTCGGCATCCACTGATGGTTCTTGCCTGAGCCTGTTACTGGGATGAGGGGCAAGTGGTGGTTTCTGACCTTGCTATTAATTCTGCGCTTACTCGTTGGCTTTCTGCCGTGAGGAAGAACTTTTCGTTTTCCCCCACGTGTGCCTGCATGTATGTGTATTACACGGCATGGACTCGTGGCTTTTCCCTGACCCCGTGGTCAGGAGCATCTGCTGTGGTGTTTATCTTGCTGCTGAGGCTGGTGGGCGTGTCTTGAGCTGACTCACGTGTCCTTTTGACATCACTTCTCCAGGAGCTCTGGCTCTTGTCACAGAGAGACGTCTCTAGAACCAGGATCTGGGTGTGGGATGTTGGCATGCTGGGCACACACGGTGCCTGCCTTTGTCTGTAAGCCACATGCATGTGCACAACGTCGCAAACCCTGTGTTCACACCCACCTCTCTAGTTCCAGGTTAGCAAATGGGGTTCCCTCCCCTTTCCGTGTTTGTACCCCACTTCTCAGACAACAGGGGACCTGGCTCTACCTGTGTGTCGTCTCTAACATGCCTGCAGATTTGCTCACTGTTAGAGTGCACCGGGCCCTTCAGAAGCCCCTGCGTGGAGTCCGGCACCCGGGGCTGCTGCGTGAGTCCATGGTGCTGTCACACGCGTGCAGAAGTCATCTGGCTTCGTCCTCTCCCTCCTTCCGTGGGGTTGTGTCCCTTATTTGGGATGTAGATTTTTAAATTTGTTTCTATTTGTATTCCACTTTAGAATTTTGTTCCCATTCTTGTTGATTTTATTTTCTTTTTTTGAGTATGTGAAGGATTAAATATATTGAGTAAAAAGCAATTGATCTTCTCTCTATAAGCTAAAAATTTGGTTTTTTACTAAACCAGGTAAGTTTGGTTTTATGGAAATTTCAATCCAAGGTGAATACATAACTATATTATTGGTGCAAATGTATATAATTTTTTTTAAAAAGGTGACTTTTTAAAAAGTGACTCCACTTCCCTGGAGCCAGTCAGTCGTAATGGCCTGTGCTTGAATCAGTTACATTCAATTTTGTTAAAAATAAATGCCTGGCCGGGCGCGGTGGCTCACGCCTGTAATCCTAGCTCTCTGGGAGGCTGAGGCGGGCAGATTGTTTGAGCTCGGGAGTTCGAAATCAGCCTGAGCAAGAGCGAGACCCCGTCTCTACTAAAAATAGAAAGAAATTAAT